CTGGCCTTCATTTCCTGACACTTAAAAGCGAAAGTTCTGACCTGAAATGTAAACATGACTTTGTCTCTTGTCTCTGGTCATATGTACGAAATGGAGAGAGAGGTGGCTGGGAACTAATTACGTTCGGAGAGTCAATAATGAGGATTTCTTGACAAAGGAGAATGGTCAGAGGTGAGGCGCGACAACTTGGTGGGTGCGCTCGTACCACGACTTCCATAGGGCGGCTCACAGGAAGCTCTTCCTCCACATATATAGGACAGCCCTCCGTCCGAGCCACTGACCTCGTGATGTGCTGGCTGGGCCGATACACTATGCTCGATGGTGGGTGAGGCCCTCGTGCTAAATACGGCAAGGGTTCCCATGTCAGGAACTCGAGGGCAACGTTAACCCATACACTCAGACATAGTCTAAGACTGTCTTACAATTGCAGACCTAGTTCATACTCGTGCTGTACAGCTTGTGCAGCAGCGGCAAAATCCAATCCAACACGGGCATGTTGCACTGGTCAGCATGCAGTTGCTGCATCTAGCATGCTGTACCGCACGAGTATGAACCCGGCCTGAGCGAGAGACTAGCTTTCAGCTTTGGCCTTTTAAGCCTTCATGAAGATGATTGATGCGGTTACATACATCCAAGTAACGTCCGTAGGACGTTGCCGTAACATTATTTGGCGTTTCAGCGTTTCATGGACGTCCCGTATAGCTTGGAATTCTACTCTATTTTTCTCCCGCAAACTGTAGAATGCAGGCACAACTCGAACCAGCGACGAACCTTGACTCTCTGGAGAGGTCAACCGCTCCCTGACGGTTCCCCATAGTACACAAGTTTCACGGTGAACCCTGCAGATGTCACTTGCCATGCTCCATCTGGATTGTATGCGTTCGTGCTGCGAATATATCGCACACGCTTTGGCTGTGTCATATGGGACGAACCGTATTTGTTCCGAATTGCGCTGGCATTCCATCTCAAATTTTCATTCTCTTCAAATTCTGCAGCATTGGATCACTTCAGCAGCAAGAAACTGCGTTTGTATCTCTTTTTTTCCTCCTGCCACATCCTCTTTCGTTTTACATATTTTCCGTTCACGTCTGAAAGGGCGATCTTAATGGACTATTTTTCTCTGCTTGTCCCCTCCCCCCTTTTTGTATCGATTGTGGAGAAGAGAGCCATGACTGTAAATTACGAAATGTGTCTGAATACCCCCCCCCCGCATCCCACTTGATGACAGCCAGACTAAATATTCCAATGTAGTTGAGATCCTTATATGTGTCGCTGCAGCGTTTCTTGCAGAGATACTTGGCATACTTAGGGACCATGTACCGTTCTGTACATTAACATGAGAGAAGGAACATCTTACCCATCGTTCGGTGCTGAAAGTCCATGCGGCATTGCAGTCCCGGAAATGACGCTGGTGTCATCGTTGACCAGGCAGCAGGGAGAAGGGAGAGGACTTTCTATTCCATCAAGGACAGCAATGACCTTAGATTTTCTCGAAAGGGATAATCGTGAAATTTCTGGCCAGACAGATGCATTTGAGGATCCTTCCAAAAATAGGGATATCCATTGCCCTTGCACTCAAGTTCCAGTTCTTCACCTCCAGCAGCTTTAACCTAGCTATGCTCGTGGAAAATGTAAAATGTGAGGTACCTGCATACATTTCAGGAGTTATTTGATGAATATGTTCATACCCATACTCAAAACAAATATTCATGCCAGTTAACAACCATCTTTGCCCTATTATTTAACATTCAGAAAATGCACGCTCACTCTCAGTTTGAGTGATGATAGGTTACAATTAAGTGCAAAATGGGATAGATTGCTAGGAATAGGACTAACTGAACGAGGTAATGAAATTAACTTTTGCTAAAGCTCTCAGTCAACAATTTATTCCAATTATTGATATATTTAGCCAAATGTGTTTATCTCCGCGAAGTCAGCTGTTCCAAGTTTGACCCACATTCATGAGCCACACATGTACACATGGGTCACGGGTGGCATATGCATAGGGCGTAACGTTAATGTCCTCGTTTTCTGTGGCACCGAGTCTAGTACATCTATGGGTCAAATGTGGTTTATATGTACGGTACATGAGAGAGAAGCAGAACCAAGATTGCATTCCTAAATGTGCAAGTATGGTACAAACGTGGTGTATGAATGTGCCGCTCCATATATATGTCCGTTTTTTCTGTGGCAGCTCGTAAACTACATTGGAGGAGACATTTCTATCTACAGTACTAGTGCAGCTGGTACTAGCATATCCACCTGCTCCAGCATCAGTCTGAACCATAGATATGCAGGAGCCATAGGGTAATACAAGAGTCGATCAACCGCTGAGTGTACTAATTATGGAACGTTTCATAGAAAGGTCCATCCCTTTATGTCACTTGGAACATACACGATTTCAATCCCTGATTTCCTCATTACGACCCCAGAATATGGGAAGGACAGATTGAATCCGCGAAAACTATCAGTATTCTAAAGCTCCCTTTGGATGAAATTTCTTTCTTCAATTAAAGGTTTCTTATCGGGAATATGAGCTTTTTTATGGCCTGAGCTTCATGAATCTGTCTCGTATATTGAAATAAGAAATGATGAAATGTCCGCGTTTATTCATTCTTACAATGAGACTAGGTGAGACATAGTGTGAGGTACTAAGCAATCCTGTGGGGGACGGTTCCAGAGAAAGAGGGAAGGAAATGCATTGGCTTTTGGCAGCGTCCATTACCTTCCTTAAACCCTTTCAAGGCGACAAAATTCAACCGTGTCGTATTCCTTTCTGAGAGCATCAACAGGAACGAAATATGGCATGCTTTTTCCTCTCTTAACAGAATCTCTCCCGCAAATTTGAATCTCCATTTCCCCGGGGTCGTGGAGATCACTCCATCTCGCTTTTCAAAGATGTGAATTTCGTTCCATTTTTGAATTTTTTTTTCTTTTCTTTTGGGAACTCCTGGGGAGTTTTCGGAGGAAGGAGATCGACCAAACGAAAGATTTGTAGGTGACAAAAAGTATCCTTTTTGTTGCTACCAGCGCACCATTTCGCCATTTAAAAAAAAGCTAAATTAGATGCCCTTAATTTAGGCTTAGCGTGTCAGAAAGAAATGCATGAATCCGTTTGGCGGTCCGATGTGGCCGGACTAAGACGAGGCCGGAAAGCCAGAAAAGGTTGAGTGAAGGAGTTCAAATATTTGCAAAGGATCATCCGTCTCCCCTAGGGAAGGATCTCGTTCCCCTGCCTCTCAATTGGTCGCTCGATTTCCAGACTATTGATCACAATTGCTCGACTATTGATCTCAATTGCCAGGCTATTGATCACAATTGCTTTGCTATTGATCACAATTGCTTTCGATAACTAGTGTTAACGAACCGATAACTAGTGTTAACGAACCGATAACTAGTGTTAACGAACCGATAACTAGTGTTAACGAACCGATAACTAGTGTTAACGAACCGATAAGATCACAATTGCTTGGCTATTGATCACAATTGCTTGGCTATTGATCACAATTGCTTGGCTATTGATCACAATTGCTTGGCTATTGATCACAATTGCTTGGCTATTGATCACAATTGCTTGGCTATTGATCACAATTGCTTGGCTGCTGATCGCCATTGCTTCTTCGCTTCCGCTCATATGGGAATGAATTGGCATTAACTAATGATGGATTTTAAGCCACTCAATCTTAGAACTATAACGGCTTAAGGGTGTGAGTAAAGACAGCTTTGAATAGCAGAATTCAAGGAGGGAGCGCACAAAACTCGAAACATTGATCAAGTTGAACTCATGACTTAATTTGTTTTCTCTGGATCTCTGAAGCAGGCAGCATAAAGGTGATCCATAAACTGTAATGGATCGCCTTTATGCTCAGCCGTGGCAGCGGCGGTCATGCTTCACGCACAGCTGCCATGCCAATTACGATTAATCTAAGAATTTTTTATTTGATTTACAAATATTCTTTTGATCGCTACGGTATATTTGTCAGAAGTGGTTCTGAATATAAATAGTTATTCATTCGTGAGAGGACAATATATGTTTTACCCAGCAACGGGACCATTAAAGGGTAAATGGCCCATTGTTTCCCCATCGAAACCCGTCATCATGCTCATAACATCGGCCATCATCTCATCGATCGTCCCGAGTATCTATTGTATCGGAAAGAGAGAAAAGGAGCGAGAGAGCCTTCAAGAGCGCGAAAGCAAACGTCAGCTGCCTCCTTCACATTCGGCGCTTTCACAAGTGGCCTTTTCACAAGTGGCTTCACCCCCGTCCGGCCGGAACTGGACCGCTTCACACGGGTTTCCCCTTTGTTTTCATTGAGCCTCATCGGCGAGAATTTCGGCGCTGAGCCGCGATTTTATTACGCCCAGGAGCTGGAAGTGATTATAGGGAATAGTTTGCAACCTTGTTGTGGCAGTGTAAGACACCCAGAGCGTGCGAACGTCGGTACGAAGGTTGTTCGAAAAGTTCTCTGTAATGATTTTTAAAATGAGTTACACTCGATGAATCTTTATTAAATTTCGGTGATCACTGGTTATATCTAATCGTATTCACTGTGCAAAGTTTGGTATAAATTTAGCCACATTTAAGCTCGCTGCCGGCTATTGCCTACAGTCACTTTGAACGCCTCTGTCGTGCTAGAATCATTCTCGAGACATGATATTCTTGCCATCATCGAGTTCCATGTTTTGCTCAACAACACACAGACAGAAATCCATCAACTGATGTCAATGGCTTTGGGCCAACAATGTCCAGCCAATGTCTAGCCACGAAGACGGACGTGCCACGAAGTGGGCGACCAATTTCCGGTCATCTACCATTGCCGTCGATCTTCTGTCAGGAGGTGAGGCCTTAGCTGCGACCTTCTTCCTGCCCAGTTCTTCGGTGACGATGCGATGAGCGGCATCGGGTGAGGCGTCCGGCTCATCTGCCTGGTGGTGACTCGGCGGTCTTCTCGGTGGAGGTCGGCGACTTGCGGGGTCGCCCGTTTCGTGGCTCGTCTTCAAGGACCGTCTTCAAGGACCGTCTTCCCCTCCAGGAAGAGCTTTGACCGCTTCCGGATCGTCTCGTCAGCTGGACAGTGCTGGCCCAAAGCCGTTGACATCAGCTGATGGATTTTTGTCGGTTTCTTGCCGAGCAGAACATGGAACTTGGTGATGACTCGAATGTCTGAGATTCGAGGATGTTCTTGTCCGACGGAGGCGTTTATAGTGACTGTACGCGATATCCGGCAGCGAGTTTAAATGTNATCCATAAACTGTAATGGATCGCCTTTATGCTCAGCCGTGGCAGCGGCGGTCATGCTTCACGCACAGCTGCCATGCCAATTACGATTAATCTAAGAATTTTTTATTTGATTTACAAATATTCTTTTGATCGCTACGGTATATTTGTCAGAAGTGGTTCTGAATATAAATAGTTATTCATTCGTGAGAGGACAATATATGTTTTACCCAGCAACGGGACCATTAAAGGGTAAATGGCCCATTGTTTCCCCATCGAAACCCGTCATCATGCTCATAACATCGGCCATCATCTCATCGATCGTCCCGAGTATCTATTGTATCGGAAAGAGAGAAAAGGAGCGAGAGAGCCTTCAAGAGCGCGAAAGCAAACGTCAGCTGCCTCCTTCACGTTCGGCGCTTTCACAAGTGGCCTTTTCACAAGTGGCTTCACCCCCGTCCGGCCGGAACTGGACCGCTTCACACGGGATTCCCCTTTGTTTTCATTGAGCCTCATCGGCGAGAATTTCGGCGCTGAGCCGCGATTTTATTACGCCCAGGAGCTGGAAGTGATTATAGGGAATAGTTTGCAACCTTGTTGTGTCAGTGTAAGACACCCAGAGCGTGCGAACGTCGGTACGAAGGTTGTTCGAAAAGTTCTCTGTAATGATTTTTAAAATGAGTTACACTCGATGAATCTTTATTAAATTTCGGTGATCACTGGTTATATCTAATCGTATTCACAGAGCAAAGTTTGGTATAAATTTAGCCACATTTAAGCTCGCTGCCGGCTATTGCCTACAGTCACTTTGAACGCCTCTGTCGTGCTAGAATCATTCTCGAGACATGATATTCTTGCCATCATCGAGTTCCATGTTTTGCTCAACAACACACAGACAGAAATCCATCAACTGATGTCAATGGCTTTGGGCCAACAATGTCCAGCCAATGTCCAGCCACGAAGACGGACGAGCCACGAAGTGGGCGACCAATTTCCGGTCATCCACCATTGCCGTCGATCTTTTGTCAGGAGGTGAGGCCTTAGCAGCGACCTTCTTCCTGCCCAGTTCATCGGTGACGATGCGATGAGCGGCATCGGGTGAGGCGTCCGGCTCATCTGCCTGGTGGTGATTCGGCGGTCTTCTCGGTGGAGGTCGGCGACTTGCGGGATCGCCCGTTTCGTGGCTCGTCTTCAAGGACCGTCTTCCCCTCCAGGAAGAGCTTTGACCGCTTCCGGATCGTCTCGTCAGCTGGACAGTGCTGGCCCAAAGCCGTTGACATCAGCTGATGGATTTCTGTCGGTTTCTTGCCGAGCAGAACATGGAACTTGGTGATGACTCGAATGTCTGAGATTCGAGGATGTTCTTGTCCGACGGAGGCGTTTATAGTGACTGTACGCGATATCCGGCAGCGAGTTTAAATGTGGCTAAATTTATACCAAACTTTGCACAGTGAATACGATTAGGTATAACCAGTGCTTGCCGAAATTTAATGAATATTCATCGAGTGTAACTCAGTTTAAAAATCATTACAGAGAACTTTTCGGACAGCCCTCGTATGATTGAAGGAAATTCCTTAATTTCCCTAATTAATTGACAATAGAAAAGTTCGCTGTGGAAATTTGTGTTTTATTCTCGTGGATGATGCATAAATAATGATAATTGGTGCGAAGCGCAAATTCATCAATTACAAATCATTCCGACATTATTCTCGCTGTTTTCCATAACAGGGGTGGTCCAATTCCGTTCCCTCCTGCATATTCTCGTGGATGATACATAAATAATGATAATTGGTGCGAAGCGCAAATTCATCAATTACAAATCATTCCGACATTATTCTCGCTGTTTTCCATAACAGGGGTGGTCCAATTCCGTTCCCTCCTGCAGAAGCGGCGAAATGTCATCCCGGCATCATACAATTCTCCTCACCAAACCCCTCACCAAACCCCTCACAAAACCCCTCACCAAACCCCTCACAAAACCCCTCACAAAACCCCTCACCAAGCCCCTCACCAAACCCGGCACCTCGCCCCCGGGTTCATGTGCGACCCCCGCGGGCAGCCGAATTCCCAGCTGAAGTCCTCGTTGTTCCGCAGCGCGCCGATCACGCGGAACCTGTTCGGCGAATGGCCCTCGTTCTCCGCTTGGAAGAGGAGTGCCTTCTTCGTCTTCACCGAGCACAGAGTCTGGAAATGATGGATCACTAAATTACATATTAACATAAAAATGACATGAAACGCATTCAATTAAGTCATTTAAGAATGAATTAGACGCAGTCCTGTGACCATCGGACCGAATCACCCAATGGTACAATTGGGGACGCTTAATTAAATCTTAATTAAATTAAATTTTCGAATTTTTTTTTTGGAGTGGAAAAGTAAATAAAAATCAGAGGGTAATAAAATATTGGTTCAACTGGTTGTACCAACATTTTATTGGTCGGTGCAATTGGGCCAATCGGTGCAACGGGCCACCCACCAGCTTCCAATTTTTTTCCTTGAGAAATGAAGAGTGCAAACTGATGCAAACCTGTGCAAAACTGATGAAGAAAAGCTGCCGAGAAGTGAAATTCAATCCCGGAAGCGGAAAATGCTGGAAACCAAGCCGTCTGCATTGAGACGCCTGGTACGCCGCATACGCGACCTTCAGGCCGCCCTGATCCACCAAGTTCTCGTCTGTAGCAAAACACGACAAAAAAATGTTTAATTAAAATGTATAATGAGGAAAAAATTAGTTCAAAGTTTAAAATAGGAAAAAATTGATTTAAAATAAAAATTAAAATAAGAAAAATTGATTTAAAATAAAAATTAAAATAAGAAAAATTGATTTAAAATAAAAATTAAAATAAGAAAAATTGATTTAAAATAAAATTTAAACTAAGAAAAATTAATTTAAAATGAAATTTAAGAAAAATATAAAAAACGAACTTAGCGTGTGCATCCCGTGCAGGCCTTCCCCGTAGACCGTGAAGCGGGCGAATTGCTGGGCGAGGCACATGGCCTCGTGGGCGAACCGCGTCGTCGCGTTTTCGCTCCACCGCGAACTCGCGTTGCCGTGCTTGTCGTATTCTCTTCCTGAGGATTTCGGGATTGAGTCGAGATTGGATCGTTCCGTTGCCGCGAGGGAGTTATTAGGCGAATTGCAATGTAAATTTCTGCTCGGCTCCATCTCGCAGGAATATCGATCTCGATTGGCTTTCGCCAATTGAGATCGGCCCAAACAAGATCGATCGATTTCGCTGCCGCGTTAAGAATCTCGGCTCAGGCCAAATTCTGTTTTATTTAACCCGAGAAACCCGAGAGCAACCGGGTGAAGCAGTAATGCACCTTACTTACGTAATGTAACTTACTTAATGTAACTTACTTTTGTCTTTGTGCTGCCAGAACTTTCCAACGAGATTTGGTATCTGAAACTCGAAGCACTCTCCGGATAACAATGGTTTTTCTCCTTTGTTAGACGCGAGCTTCTAATCGATTGCCTTCGCACACGCTGAGTAATAGAAGATCGAATGAAGCTCACCCGTGTGGACAGTTTTTGTCTTTTTTTAATTATTTTCTAATGATTTTCATTATCGTATTGCGCTCGGCGAATCTTCCGATAGTCTTCTGCTCTGAATCAACTCGACGCATGCGCCTCGGCCTTATCTGTTTGGCATTTAAGCGCCCACTCAAATAATCCCACCAGTCCTTGATGGGATTAAGGCGCGCAATCCGCGAGCTTCACGGTTTTGTTTCTGAACCACTTTCAGAGATTCGCCACTTTTCGACGGTGGGGCGGACATGTCGGATTTGTCTGGGTGCTTCAGGCACTTGGTACCTGAGGTACTTTGGGTGCTTCCATATTTGTCCATCGGTTAAATTTTGCTCTCGTATAACCAAAGTGCTGAAGATCTCCTGTCCAACTATTGAATTTGAGAGCAACGTCATGTCTTGGTGAGGCTTGGCACGCGCTCTTGACCTTAGGTGGAGCCTTGAATCCGTCCTTGAGACCTCACGAAGCAAGTTCTTCAACAGTCGAGAGCTGGCTTTGGTTTCGAAGGCTGTTGGCCGCTTTCAGCGCCTTTTTGCAGCGGTGGCGACCTCACTAGGAGCAATTTATTCTGGCGCAGCGAAAGCTTAGCCAAAATTCGATTTCATCCCTTTTGGAGGGTGAATTTTTATCATAATCAGGAACAGTATTTTTTCGAAAAATATTGAGCGTGGAGGCGATTTGACCACGTCGTTGCCGTCTTAAGAGAGTTTTAAAATCTGAAAGATGTTTTCAGGGGAGAATGACTTCATGTTTACTGCATTAAACCATAGTGGATAAGTTTCCTAAACGTTTGTACAAGTCTAGATCCCGTCGTGGCAGCGCAAATTAAAAATCAACGTTTATATGTAACGGTTACGGTTAATGAGAATGACTTCATGTTTACTGCATTAAACCATAGTGGATAAGTTTCCTAAACGTTTGTACAAGTCTAGATCCCGTCGTGGCAGCGCAAATTAAAAATCAACGTTTGTATGTAACGGTTACGGTTAAATTTAACCGTATACCCATCGTGGTATACCCATCTTACGATGGGTATCGCCAGAGGAAAAAAAAATGGTAAGCAACTACGAACACTAAATAAATCAAATGAATGAATACCAACCCCTGATATCAAAAGCATGCATGAGCTCACGCCCTATCACGACCCCTATCCCACCGTAATTCACGGCTTCGGGAAAATGAGGCGAATAGAACGGAGGCTGCAAAATCCCGGCCGGAAACACCATCTGATTCCGAGCCGGCACGTAATACGCATTCACCGCCACCGGAGACACCAGCCACCTGTGAAAAAAAAGCGAGACTCCAAGAGACCGTCGCAAAAAAAAAACCACACGAGAAACGACACCCTCACTTATCATCCACGGGCTCCCCAAGGTCATCCAACGCCCTTGAAAGCGCCCATTCCCTCAACCTCATCCAGTTCCGAAAGTACTCATCCGGCTTGAGGTCCACCCCCTCGTACAACCCGCCCATTTTCGACGCGTCCGACTTCGGATGACCTGATCATCGAGCCTTCATCCTTTCCGAAATCTTCGATTTAAAGAGCTTCGAAGAAAAAATTGGACCGACCGATCATTTTCCTCACGGCCTTGGCCTTCACGAAGGCAGCGTGCTGAGTCTCTTCGTCCATCCACTTCAAGGTGCTCAGGTTATTCGTAAATGCCTTCTTGATCTCCCTGATCATTTCTCGGACCTGCATATAAATCAAATATTTATACCAATATGTATACCAATATTTATACCAATATGTATACCAATATTTATACCAATATGTATACCGATATTTACAGCAATACTTATACCGATATTTAAAACCTACGACATCGCTTTTGAAATGGAACGGAACTAATTAATTATGCCACTTTGAGTCCTTATGTGGTGCCAAATAATTTCAAAACCTACCCTCATTCTATCTGGATTCAAATCAAATTCACAAGTTAACAAATTTCCATCCATCCAATTTTAAGAAATTCCGATCTCAATTGTTATAATTTGGAGCAGTTCTTCACATATGATAACATAATAAAATAGTACATATACTATTCGCAAATTGCTTATCACACATTATTATTCCATTTCAGGGGGAAGATGAAGAGACTCACCGGACCCTCGGCCGACTCGGGCGATCGCGCCTCGACGAACCGCGCCCCCGCGACATCCCCGAAGAACCCGGCGGCGCCCACCACGCATTCCTCCCACCGGCTCGCCTCCCCCTCCGCCCCCGCGATTGCCGCGCGGAGGCCCGCGGCCGCCTCCCGGAAGGGCCGCGGCATCAGGGGGATCGCCTCCATCGCGGCGTGCCACATCAGGTAATTCCCCAGTTGGCTGTCGATCGAAATCTTTATTTGAACTGAGATGATGGGAGATCAGCAGTTTTAATTGCCAGTCAATCTTCTACCGGTCTGCCAAAGTGTGATTTCTCCCAGGGAAACCAAATATCGATTAAGTTTTCTTGGTTAATTATTTTGCCATTGAGAGTCATACTTGAAATCGCAGGACAAATTTCGTTCGAGGACACGAAGGACAAATTTGGAACGGCATTGAATCAAAATGAGAAATGTGCTGAGGGCAGGATTTCGCCCCAGAAATACCTTTAAGAGGCTCGTAGGCTGTCTATGGCTTGGAATGTTATGAAATTAACGTGGGGAAAGGCCCAATGGCCTTGCACTGAAGGATTTCAAGTCGAGAAAAATCAGGGCGGATCCAAGCGTCCTTTCCATGCAGGAAAACAACAATGCATGGCCTGAATTACATGGGAAAAAATCTTTTGTTTCCTCAGAACGTTGAAGAACTCGTTTTTCATCGAAAGAAGAAATACGATCACTTCTTGCTACAACGAAATCGATATCGTCGGCGAGCTCAAATCTTTTTAGCACTGCAGCAATTTCTAAATGCGAAATATCTGAGGATTATAAAGATCTTGTGCGAGGAGTTTCTTGAGACAGGCCGAAAAATTCCTCTGACTTTAATTATATTAATAAATTTTAGGGCTATCAATCGAAAATAATTAATCGATTAATCGTGTGCCATTTAATCGATTAATCAATCTACTAATTGAATTTTTATCCATCCCTTAGTTCATCCTGCAAGGGACTCGTTCCAGCCGGAAAGAAAATTGTTACAACTTAGCCAGATAATAAATAAGTAAATAAATAAATAATGAATAAATAATGATAAATAATGAAACGTAAGCGAAGAGGAGCTCTGAGGCTCTTTGGCATTTAGCCAACCCAAAACGGAAGGATGCAAAAATGTAATCTAAATGATTGGACGTACACAGTGACACTTCATTACGCGGAGATTCGTTTAAGGGGAAGCACAGGATGGAAGAGCAAAAATAGGAGCAAACAAGGAATAGGAGAGGGTTTCCACTTCTCTCGCCTGCCCCCAGCTTTCCCCCTCTCTGTTACTTTCCGTTCCCACAGACGTTCGCCGGTGCTCGTATGCGTTCGCATCTCGCTCCCCAGTCTTTACATTTAATTCTTTCCTGCCTCTCCAGTCCCATGCCCGTGCCCAACTCCCCTCCTCCTTCTGTGCATCCTATTCAAGCTTCTTCCTTAAGATTTTCTTTTCCCCATTCGTATCGAGTGACTTCTCTGTCGCTCTGCCGTAGGCCGCTGTTACCTTGGCCCGACGCGCGTGGCCTGCAAGACTATGCCTTTAAAGACCGTAGACTAGACAGAAGTCCACGGGATGCGTGCCAGAACGCTTCTGGAAGCAAAGGGGTCAGGAAGCCTTTTTTTTATTTTAATAATCTGAAAGCGATGGCTTTGTTCCCATTTTCCAAAAATAGTATGTCGTTTTGAGGAGTGAGCAGTGCGAAACTTTCTATAAGCCATCATTGCAATTCATTCTCTTGATAAAGCCTTCGTTTTCGGCTGTTTTGCAAAACTATGAACTACACAGTAAAATTCTATGGGGGAAAAGAGGCATTCAGGGGGAGATTAGGGACGATTAAAATTCCATTAATTTCGACTGACTTTTTAAATCGCGATTAATACATTAATCCATTAATCTAATCGAATTGACAGCCCCAATTAATTTCCAAACGTAATGTCCCCTTGAGTCTCCGGCAGCTAATCGGATCTTACGTTATTCCCAGCCTGTACTGGTCCTGCTTCGAAAGAAAAATGTGGCGCTGTTTCACATCAATGCATTCAGGCAACGTTGACGGTTCGCAATATGCAATAGTTCATGGGAAGAGGAAATTAAATTTCAAAATTATGGCGAAATCATACAAGCCAGAAGCTCCACTAAAAAGTCCTTTCTTTGACAGCAGGCAATAAAGGAGGAAAACAAAAACCATTCGCGTTGGAATCATACGATTGCAGTGCATTCTTCCAGAAAAAAGCGAAGCAGGTTGTCTGAATATGTGCACATTTATACTGCAAATTGTTCGATTTCGCTTTGAAATTTTATGTGGTTCTGACGATGAACTTTATGGAGCGAGGCTTGTATTCTGGATCATTCGTTCATCGCACGTCTATACTTAAGCCAACATCACAGTTTGTGACAAAATTTTTACTTTTAATTTTTTAAAAACTGTTTCACTCATCGTTTAGCGCTATGAAGCGAAATCTCAAGTAACTCTTACGTCCCAAGTGGCAGTGGTAAATGTACCACGGAGCATGCACAATCCACGAGATCCTCATCGTTTCTGGGAGTTTTTGTGCCATAAAGCATCCATTTAAACAGCCATGCTTCCACGAGAGTTCCCGCATCCACTACCCAAAATCCCGAGGCGCACACAAGCCGAATAAGCAGCCAATCGGCACAAACAGCCAGCGACCTTCATCGATCCTATCGACGAGACCTCACATTCTTCCCTCGGCCGAGATCAGCCTCTCCTTCACCAGCCTCGTCAGGCGTGAGAGATACCTCACCCCGTGAACCAGGACGGGCTCGTTCCCGCTGATGCTCCTGCTCGTCCGACCGAAGGCCTCGCGCATGTACTCCGTCCAGTTCAGCTGTTCGAAGGGATTGCATCAACTCGCATGAAGTCGATGGCGAACGGGATCTTCCGACTTACCAAAGGGGCCCGATATTGAAGGTCCATCAGACTCATCTTGTGATGCAGTTTTCGCTCGTTCCATTTCTGACCAACGGGAGTGCTGATGACGGCCAAGAGGACCTCGAACTCGATCACATTTCTCATCTGACTTCGTATTGACTGATTCCGTTCTTCACGAAGCTCTTTCGTTTCTTTGAGTAGGAGAATCCCGACCTGTTTTGAGAGGATTGGTCGGTTCAGTCACATCTTTAAAATTGACTCTATTTTCCGGTCTTATCGTTTTCCTTTCACTTACTTGCTTACCCTCGTCATGAAGTCCAGCAACGATGAAAGAACGTTGTCTTCTTCGATGTGTTTCTTTAAATAGTAATCCCGTGATGGCAGACTCAGTCCTCCTTCGCCAATCTATAATAAATGAAACGAAAAAGACTGCATGCTGCGATACCTTAAAGATATCCCCAGTAATGATCATGAAAAATTCTTAATGGGAAAATCACTAGCAAACACAAATTTGAGTTCTGTCAACATTGAAGTTTGCACATCTCCATAGACTTCAACAGAAAATACCTCTGTGATTTTGTGCTGTTGCACACTATCCCCCCCACCCTCTCACCTAAGAAAACATACTCATAAATTCAAGAGCCAGTGAGGACTAAAATTATATTTTCCATTGGGAGGTCATGCTGACCTGGATGATGTACTGTGCTGAATTCCGGTCATCAACATCAATCCACCAATTGAAAAGTCCGCCAAATTTGAATCGATTGTGCATGGTCTGGACGGTTTTCTGGAAGTTCCAACTTGCGGCATTGAAATCCCTCGACGAAACGTTCCATCCCCCGAGTTCCTCGATCAGTTCCAAGAGAGGAGCGGCACCGAGCTCCTCGATCTTCCCATCTTGGTCCATGCAGGAGGCATAATAGCGCAGAGCCTGCGACTCCGCCGAACTTCCATCGAGACTCCCGCCTCGCTTCATCAAATCATCTGCAAGTATAGAAGGCAAGACTGCTTCTACTCCATTGCGACTTGGGTTCCTATCTGGATGCAAGCATACCGAGTGCATTCCGCAAGACGAGATGGTTTTCCCTCTCCAACTTCGTGACCGCATTCCACGTGCTCCTGCCTGCAGGCAATGGGTTGTTTCTCGCCCAGGACCCGCAGGCGAATCTGTAGAAGTCTTCGCATGGGTCGACTGTCAGATCCATGGCCTCCAAGATCGGCGACATTTCGACGGTCGAGGGTATCATGAAGAAGACGAGCAGGAAGATGAGGAGGAGAACGGCTATCGCCAGGATTGGATAGACGATTTTCTTCAAGGCTGGCCTCATTTTCGGCCTCTGTCTTCCCTGATTGCGATAAGCGGAACTCATTTCATTCTTCGAATCGGTCTGATGGTAAGCAATGAAGGGTGAAATTGTTTCAGGTAAGCAAAACTAGGGAATGCTCCAGCTGCATGCAGATCTAATTGACATATAGGCTCAAACTACGATTATTTAAAATAAGAAACCAGAATATGAAACATAGTGACTACACCTATTTCATTTTTATTAGATGTTGACGCTGAAATAGAGCTTCTAAAAACATCTAAAAGAGATGTAGATGGAACGCGACTTACCTCCATCTCAGCATCAGCAAACTCATATTGTTACGGTTGGTAAAATAAGGGAAAATGTTTGGTGTGTCACGGCCTTGAAGTGGGATGAAATATGTGTTTACTTAGGGTAGAAGGCAATATTTGATTCAGTTATCAAGGTTTGCAGATTTGACTGAATTATGCAAGAGACTGCCAAAAGAATGAAACGTTTTACTTATTTTTTCCCGCTAATTTAAAATTGAAATGAGGATGAACTGCACCTTACTCATGACTGAAGACGTCCATGACGCGTCATGATCGCCCCAGCCCCTCACTGACTACCCTCACTGACCACCCTCACCCACTGTCTAGGCGCCGGTTCGACACAGTGGAAGAAAGGCGAAAACTCATTCCTGCGAATAGAATCAGAGGAAAGAGCCGAATGCGAGAAGCCGGAGAACGAGAAGGCCGAGCAGGCCCGAAGGAAGAGAGGCGCAGGATCGCGTCGCCAGGCGTCGGTGCGATCGCTGGCTTCTTTCCCGACGTATCCATTTCCTTCGGGTTCGAATTATGGGTGACATGCGTCTGTTAAGTCTCTCTTACGATGGTCCTCTACGGGAATCCGTTGGACGGTGATAATCTTCCCGTAGATTAGCTTAACATTAGAAGTACCGAACCGGTCATTTTGACAGCAAGCAGTTTTTAAACGCGATTTACTCCACTCGTTTGGCAACTACCAAGTCGAAAATTTTCGCTTGTTTATCGTCGGGCCATGGCTGGCGAAGTTGGAGCATCTTCGGCAAGCGATCGGTTGGCCAATCGTTCTCCGAAAACGAGCCAATGTGCCTGAGAAAGTTCCGAAAACCGGCCAGAGGAGCAGGGTTCCCGGATTTTATCGAAATGAGTCCCCTGTCCCTAAGTTCCCATTGGTTTCTCACGCAGTTCTCAGAGGAAGACGATCGAACACCTTAAAAACATTTATCTGAAGATGTGACCTAGCCCTAGAATAAACCAGGAAATTCCGGCGATAAGCTACGCAACTTTCGTTTTTTTTTCTCTCTCTCTATTGAAAAGTTTATCGCGAGTGAGGCGCGCCTGCGGGAAGACCTCGCATTCCCATGCGGATCCCGCTCCTGGATGCCTCCGCATCCGGAAGGGATGTCCCTGGGATGTCCCTGGGATGTCCCTGGGATGTTCTCATCTCTTGGCAATGGAAGCGGATCTGTGTGAGATGCTCTGGCTTCCTCATCCTTATTCTCTCCCAGATGATGCATAATGCGCGGCTGCATCTACAATTGCAGTTTGTGCAATGTGGATTATTTTCCTACATCTTTTTCACCATTTTGAAAACGACCACGAGCAGGCTTAAACCAACCACACGCCAGTGATGGCCCTCCGAAGACTCACATAGGAACATCCTGATACAGCAGTACACTCAGAAAATTCCGAGCGTTTGGGGAGTAAAAAGTGAGCACAACCGTGAGCTTTTCGAATTTACTCTCTTATTACTCACCAAATGCTCCCTCATCGCTCGCATTGAAGTGAACACCTTGAAGTTCTTCGCCGGGCCACTAG